ATGTAGAAAACCAATAGGTCCGGCGAGGGTTAAAGAGGAAAGCATCCCATTGTTAAGGATAGGTGCATTTGACCCCATGGGCTGGTTCAATTGACCCTCGCATCGGGGTCACTTGAAACGGGCGTAGAGCTGTTTTATAAGCATGCGTTTGGCAGCAAAATATGTTTGAAACATAATTTTACATATCTTAAAATAAAGCCAAAAAGTATATTTTTTTCATAGTATTGTGCATTTTTCGATATGACAACTAGATCTCGCTGTGCATGTCAACATATAAAAAGTGGTTCAACTGGCCCCGCTCTCCCCTACACCTCTTTCTGGTCAGTTAGGTTGCCTGGTATCCACACATTTTTCAAGTGACTGCTGTTCGAAAACAACGCGAACAAAACTATACAAGCAACACATTTATTAACCAGCGCCCTGGGGGGGGGGGGCTGTTTTTTGCTCCCCCTCCAGACTTTTCAAAATATCTCCAGAACCGATGCGCCTATCGTCACCAAACTCTCAGTACCCTCCCGGGCATCAATTTTACACATTGTGACCATTTTTTTCCCCGAAGGCTATGATAGGTTGGCCGCAAATGACGTCAGGGTGACGTCATGTTCTGCCGTTTTCGACCAAAAAAAGGTTTCGCGGGAAGAGCTGTCAGGCCTATAGCTTTGAAGATACAGAAAAACGTTAAAGACATAAAAGGTGTAGGCGATAGGCGGCGGCCGCGGCCATAACGGCCGGAGCGACACCAGCGCCACCATCGGCGGCTGGTCGGAACTATCGCAACGGATCGCACGTTAATTCAAATTATTTAGTAACGATACGTTATGCGTCAACGAAACCTTTCCTGAAAATTTAAGAAAAATGCATTTAATATTATAGCTTAATTTCATGACACATCTCGCGATGTAAATAGATATTTTAATGGATAATTTGATTAGTAAATAATTGCATCACTTCAATTAACTAATAATATCATTGTACATGTTTCGCATTCCATAAATGCCCCACCGGAATATGAAAGCCCACAAAGTAAGCTTTCTAAAAATGTGTATTAGTTACAAGTCAGTGATGGCTTATGCTACTTTTGACGCGATTGTTTTCGTCATCGGTCGATATAACATACACTTTTACTATATTTCAATGCGTACAACTCAGTCAAATTTGAATATTACGTTAACCCGCGCCCGGCTGGGGGTCCTGGATTTCCACGCCCTGCTGGGGGGGGGGGGGGTGTTTGAACACCCCCCCTTGTAACTCGGCTCCTGGGCTACGTAGCGATACGCGGAAGGCGGCGTTCGAAAGAGCGTCAAAAATAATGACGAAATCACTTCGGTCAATTTTTTGGTCAGGTCAAAGGTCAGGTCACCAGAGGTCATTGAAGGCAAAATTTCGCCGATTTCCAGGTCGAATGTCGAAAATTTCCAAGAAGCCAACGCATAACTCGGGAACCAATAGAGCTACAGCGCCGCGGAAAAGCGCATTCGATAGCCCTATTAACGCCCTTTCTGAGTAATTCCTCAGATTTGACCTAACGTCAACGGTTTTGCCTGCAGGGGGCAAAAACTGCAAAAATAGCCGATTTTTTCAAAAACAGTTTTTCTGCAATAACTTTTGACCCAAGCCTTGTACGAGCTTACTTTTACCGGCAACGTGTTCCTCTCGTCAAGACGCATCGAATGAACTATAACTTGACCTTGAAAGGTCAACTTGAAAATTTGACCTCAGGTCAAGGTCATGACCTGACCGGAAAGGGTCATGTTGCATATCAGTCGATCCGTATCGTCGAGCTGAACACATCTAAGGCGTTTTCATCGCTCTAGCATGCCTCTATCAAAAGTTATTTGCGAAAAACTGTTAGATACCATTCGTGACCTAAGATGACCTCAGGGCATAAACAAGGGTCACGGACACCATTTTCATGTTCCGTGTGTCTAAACCACTTGTAATTCGGTGTTTGGGAGTGTTTATAATGTCTTGCATCCAAAAGAGGCGCATTTCAATTTTCTCCCATTGACTTATAATGGCGAGGTCGCAAAATTGACCTGACCTTAGGTCATCGATATCAAAATTCTGAGATATACATTTTCTACATGCTATTGCCCTTAGCAATCGCTGAAAGTTTCAAAGCCATCGGTCACTCGGTGTAGCTATGACAGACATTGAAAGTTTTTATGAGGTGAGGTCACTTCAAGTGACCTGGTGACCTGACCTTGAATGACCTTGGTCTGAAATTTTCAAAACATGTGTAGAATTGATGTATGATAAGGTGTGCCGTTTTTGAGATATTCGCGAAAAACCACAAGGGGGGGGTGTTCAAACACCCCCCCCCCCCAGCAGGGCGCGGGTTAATGCCCCAGTAGATAATTAACCCGCGCCCCACTGGGGGGGGCTATTTATAGCCCCCCCTCCCGTTTTTCTGCAATAACTTCCAAACCGCTTGACGGATCGACGCCAAACTTTCAGTACCTTCGGCTGCATCAATTTGACACCTTGTGTCAAAATTTGAACTTCGTAGCTACCATAGGTCGGCCGGAAATGACGTCAGAGTGACGTCATGTTCGTCCGATTTCGACGCAAAACATTGAACCACGGCAATCGCTCCCAAGAGCTCAGTTTTTAAGCTAGATCCAATTTCCTTGCATGAAAGGACTCAGAATTGACCGCGCTATCAAACTGCTATCTCGGATTTTCCAAATTTTGAAAATTTTGAAAATTTTATATAATAATATTCAAAATTTATATTTTTAGATTTTTTTTTCAAAAAGTTTTTGGCTTTTCGAAAAAACCGGAATATATGTGACAGAACGCATTATTATGACTAACTCTAGCAAGTTTTAGCTAAATATCTTCAAAAATGGCAAAGTTATACGCATTATTGCAAAAAATTCACAATTATCAATTTTTCAAATCAATTTTTCAGTACGTATTTGACATCGTACACCAATATGAATGGCACTATCGTGTTCCTGAGCTCAAACTGCATCCAATAGACACCTTTTTTGTTGAAAAATTTTAATTTCAAAATTTGACCTTTTTTGACCTGAAAATGACCTGACCTAAGCTAAATTCGACTCAAAATGACCTCGAATGACACAGACGACATCAAATTCGAAATCTATGGCCTAAATGGACCATAAAACATGTGTCACGTGACCGACGCATGATATAATATTTTCGTGACCTGTGATGACCTGACCCTGACCTGAAAATCAAGGTACAAGTTTGGTACCCTCAAGGTATCCAGAGCATCTGTTCACGAGTGTGGAAACCAAAAATGAGCCTGATCTGACTTGTAAGACGGCGGCCAGAGCCCAAAATGTGAACAAGCCAAAGTGCTAATAATTTTTACTTTGACCTGACCTGTGACGTCATCGGTGACCTCGAGGTCAATGAAATTAGGTTTCGCTCGACAGTTTTTCCGGGGCTATCAGACGCCGTTTGAATTTTGACGATCGGCCCAGTAGTTTCGGAGTTAGGAGGGGGGGCTATGAATAGCCCCCCCCCCCCCCCAGTAGGGCGTGTTATACACAGACCCCAGTGGGGCGCGGGTTAAACATCAATTAATTGCCGTTCGAATGATGTTACGCATGCCTCAATGGTGCCTACCCTAAGCTGCTTTTTTCTCGTGTCTTTATGAACAAGCACTAGGCAAAATTGTGGTATCACCATAATTAACTAATAAAATTAATGAATAAATGACACCTTCGATAAATGCCCCACCGGAATACGAAAGCCCACAAAGTAAGCTTTCTAAAAATGCATATTAGTCACAAGTCAGTGATGGCTTATGCTACTTTTGACGCGATTGTTTTCGTTATCGGTCGATATAACATACACTTTTACTATATTTCAATGCTTACAACTCAGTCAAATTTGAATATTACGTTAATGCCCCAGTAGATAATCAAACAGCAATTAATTGCTGTTCGAATGATGGTACCCATGCCCCCATTGCGCCTAGCCTAAGCTGCTTTTACCCCGTGTCCTCATTGCCAATCACTGGGTGCAATAGCGGTCTCAGGCCTTATCCGGGCAAAAATGATTTTTAGGGTGAGGGGACAAACGCTAAAGCTATTTCTTTCAAATGTGGCTACTTAAACGTTTCAAATAAGAGTAAAATTGGAGAACTTCACTTACCTGAACATAACTTACTTAATCTTAAAAATTGACTACCTAATCAAAGTATCAGTAGGCATGATCCAAACATGTAGGTACCTAGACATGGCGGCGAAGATACCTGTCAGGGTGCGCCGCGGGCCAGTTATTTTCATGTTCAATCTCTTCATATTGACGCAATCAACGTCGCGTAAATAAAGAATGTATATTCTTCGCAGGTAGCATATCAATACATTTATCACAAATCTAATGCAGTCACACTCACATATACACATTTTGACACGCACGCTCACGCACCAGATTCTGATGCGCCAACATTTTGATAGGTGCACATTCGCTCGCAATTCAAGTCACATAACAATTTTTAGCTGCCTTCAACAGTCGGCGGCCGTCCTGCGTCAAGGCATGTTGCATTCCGTCCTGTTTTTCAACAGGTTGTTGGGCAAACACTTGCATAGATTCTACCCGCCCAGTAGTTAAATCACAAACATGAAATAACTGAATACGAAGAAAAAACGGGCCGATCATGGACAACAAGAACACCGACAGAAACATTTTCATTAAGTTCGCAACCTCGTGGCGAAGTTAATCGAGATCACGACTTATCGTCCTATAGGTTCATGACTTTTACACACTTTAGAAGTAGCAGTCGCAGCTGCATCCCGCTTTGGAGGCCGAGGAAATCCATTGCAGGAGGGCAAAAACAAGAACAATATGATTTTGTGACGGTCGGCTTTATCTAAATTACTGAACTCCACTTTTCGTCCCGAACAGTGATTTTTCCTCGGCATGCTATTTTACTCTGAATGAACTCGTGACTCGATGTTTAGGAATTTCGCGCCGATTGAAGTTCGTCGGAAGCACGGAGGACGTTTCTTTGTCTAGGACGAGTGGTACGCGTGCCTCCATTGCGTGTAGCCCCACTGCGTTTCCAGCTGGCAAATCTCGGTGCTGACGATGTCTTTAAGGTCCACTTAACGTTGATGCACGTAGGTGTCGCACTCATCTGGAAAGAAAAGCCAAATTGTCACAAAAACATTTTCTTCCGTGTCACTGTCATTCACCAGAATACTCATATTCAAAACCCCTTAGCCCTAGGTAAATAGATATTATGAGGAATTTCGGTCCCCACCAGTGAAACTTCACACTCATGCGTGAGCAGCCTGATGGTAATATTATAATTTGTAAAACAATAAATACAAACTGATAACTGACACTGTCACTACTATGAATCAGCCCAGAAAAAGAGCATATTACCTAGGTACTTGACAAATGGGATACCAATTTCAAAGAAAGTAAGTCAATTTTTCAAAGCAGCCTGAATTAATATATGCAGGTTAGAAGTATATGCCTACTATCTGAGAAGGTAACAAGCAGCCGTTTAATGAAGTGGGTTGCAGACTGCAGAGCCACCACAACAATTCTTGAAACTGCACATGAGTGACACATGTTCTGATTTCAGCAGCATGTTGTAATGAGAATGACATTGGGTGGTAATGGCATACTAATAAATTTAGTAGCCACTACTTGTTACATCAATGTTAAATAGGGAAGATCAATACATACTTGGGAAGCTGATGTCAAAGGTAGTTATGAAAGAATCACTTCAAACAAGTTATGAAAATGTTGTGAAAGGGTTCCAAATAATTTACAAAAGGGCAGTGTCGAATGACCAGAATGAGTTATGAAAATTTTGCGAAAGGGTTCCAACAAGTTAACAAAAGTGTTGTTTGAAATGAGTTATGTAAAGGCTGTGAAAGAGTTATGAAGAATTTGCAAAAGGGTTCCCTCAAAAGAGTTACGAAAAGGTTCCGAAAGAGTTACTAGGAGGTTCAATAAATACGAGAAAATCGCTCATATCTCCCTTAACCCTATTCCTGGCGGGCTCCGCCGGGACAAGAAACTGGCGGGGGGGGGGGCCGATTCGGCCCCCCTGAGATCTCGAGAACGAAGCAAGATAGCGACAAGCGGTAAACGGCATCGGATACGCACGGCCAAGATCTACAATTTTTACTAAGGTCATTTTCAGGTCAGGTCAAAGATGACGTCACAGGGGCGAAAAAGTCAAAATGGCGGCGCTAGATATGGAGAGAGTTTTTCTCGAATAACTTTCGAATTAGTCAAGATAGGAACAAACTAAGGGCATCATCGTGATCCTCTCGTCAATCCGCATCGAATGATATATATGTTGACCTCGAAAGGTCAAGGTCAAAGGTTGACCTCAGGTCACGTGACATCGAGGTCATCATGTATATCATTCGATGCGTCTTGACGAGCTGAACACAATGAGACCATCCACGCGTCTGTATCTTGTTCCTGTACGGAGTTATTGGCCAAAAACCTTTGGTGACCTTTGATGACGTCACATGACCTCACAGCTGCCCAACAGCAAAACAGACCTCAAGGTAGTGAAGGTTGATCGTATATGAAGTCATGTATGGTATATGGGGCCATTCCGACCCGTTTTAGTTGTAAAAACAGGGAGTTGATTTTTCCCCCATTGACTTATAATGGGGAGGTCGCGAAATTGACCTGACCTTAGGTCACCGATATCAAAATTCCGAGATATACAAATTGCACATACTGGTACCCTAACTAAACCCTGAAGAGAAGAAATTGATCGGTCAAAAACTCTAGCTCTGGCGTGATTGCAAACTTTTCTGAGGTAGGGTCACCAAACCGCCTCTGGTGACCTGACCTGAGGTCAGATCAACTCAAAATTTTCAGACATGTTGCGTAGAAGCCTTTTAGGAAAAGTCAGAAAATTTGAGCTTCCTAGCTCAACGCGTTTGGGAGAAATAACCAAAAAACCTCAGGGGGGGGGGGGCTCCTGAGGCCCCCCCCCCGCCAGGAATAGGGTTAAGTGTTGTCGTGGAGCAACAATGAAAAAAGCATGTGAAACTACGAAAAATTCTCTACAAACTGGCTATTTCAGATTTTCTTTCTGGTTGTATGTTCTGCTGTGGTGTCGTGACGAAATGGACCATGTTTTAAAGCAACGTTCAGTTATTGAATTTTACGTTAAACTCGGCGAAACATCGGCCACTGTAATCCACCGGAAACTGCGCGAAGCCTATGGCGATGATGCACTGGCGGTATCTAGTACAATGAGTTAATGAAGAGATTTTATGAATGAGATATGAAAAAGTTGTGAGAGGGTCACAAATAATTTATGAGAAATTTGCTTTGAATGAATTATGAAAGGGCTGTGAAAGGGTTACAATAAGTTAATGAAAAGCCTTTTTCGAATGAGTCAGGAAAATGTCGCGAAAGGGTTGCAAATAATTTACGAAAGGGTTATTTTGAAAGAGCTATGAAAATATTGCACATAGTTAAAAGTAAGTTATGAAAGGGTTACTCTGAATAAACTATTAAAAGGCTGAGAAAGGGTTACCATGAGTTTACGAAAGGGTTGTTTCAAATAAGTTATGAAAAGGCTGCGAAAGGGTTACGAAGGGCTTGCGTAAAGGCTTAGTGAAAGGGTTGTGACTTCTGACCTAACAAGTTGCGAAAAAAAATCACAGCAGCTTTAGGAAAAGAATATAGAATGGATAAAGAAGTAACAAATTTTGTTGCAACAAGTGAGGAACGATGTCACACTAATGGGGCTATAATTATACTCAGAAATAAACAGCATCTCAATCTAGTCCATGAAGACTCAAGAGCATGCTGCACTTAATTGGTGGCTTACCTCGACATCACTGGCCGACTCACCCCTTCCACTAGATTGATCGGGGGATTAAACACCTTTTTCAAATAACGGAAACCCAGGCAATTGCCTAAAACCCAGAAGAAACGTTTGAACCGCTGGAAATGCCGAGAAATTGGCGGCAATATACAGGGAGGACACACTGCGCAACAAATGTCTCATAAGCGCATGGAACGTATGCAGTTTCTAAAGCTCTTGATAATATCAAGAACATGTTTTTTTTCTTCTAATCCCCATCTGGCCAAATGTCCGCCTTTACACGGGGCCTGCACCCTAACGGGATTACCAGAGGTACTAAACTGCTATCTCGATTCAGGAAGTTTCGATTTTTTTAATTTTAACCCCCTAAAATAAAAAAAAATATATAATAGCCAAAAAATCCAAAAGTTTTTCGAATTTCGAAAAAAAACGGAATAAATGAGATAGCCCTCACAGACTTCTATTCACATAATAAATTTAAAATCGATATATCTCTTTTTACAAAGTAATAGCAAAAAAACTGTTCAAAATTGATGACGTCAAATTTTCCAACACAATTTTCTTTGCAATTCTAGACCACGTAGCGCAAAACAAAGATCACCATTAGACTCGCCGTGACGAGATGCATCGAATCAATACCCATTTTATGCAAAAATATCAACTTTGAAATTTGACCTTTTTTTGACCTGACATTGACCTGACCTCCACCAGGAAGTGACCTAACCTGTTCCTGATGGTCCTATAACCAACACCATTGTGTTGGAAATGAAAAATTAGCCATAAAACATGCATCACACAGCCCTAGTAAAATAGCGCATTCCCTAGACGACCCGTGAACGGTGAATTATTTCATCTTTGACCTGACCTGTGACGTCATCGGTGACCCCGAGGTCAATGAAATTTGGTTTCCCTCGACAAATTTGACAGGCCTTTCGAACTCCGTTTGAATTTTGCGGATCCGTCCAGTAGTTTCGGAAATACGAGGGGGGGGGCAAAAAATACCCCCCCCCACCAGGTCGCGTTATAAACAGACCCCACCAGGGCGCGGGTTAACAATACATGATGATGATGATGATGATGATGATGAGCCGCCGATCTGACTCCGGGTCACCGAGGTAGAGGCGCGTTCTCCTGGCTTTGACAGCATTGGCTTGCAGCACCGCCTCTTTGCCAAAGGTACATACGTCATCGTCGGAGTCATCTAGAGGACAGAGGATAGAGGAAACAACAACAAGAGTGGTGGTGGCGGAAGGACGCTGGATAGAAGAAGTGAACAACTCACAGGAGCATGGTAACTATGAGGTGACAATGGTCGCCGTTCTGTAGTGGATACATTCTGGAAGCTAACATTAATTATAACAATGACTGTGGGTAATGTCGGGCTTGCAGACATTCGTAGCGCGCCAAGCGTGAGCAAGTCCTTAAGAGGGGTAAAAATGATCATGTTTTTACAAATCTTACCGTGGACGGGCGACAGGGCAGCAATTCGCCGCTTCGACAGAGTCGAGAAATTGGCGGCAATATACAGGGAGGACACACTGCGCAACAAATGTCTCATAAGCGCATGGAACGTATGCAGTTTCTAAAGCTCTTGATAATATCAAGAACATGTTTTTTTTCTTCTAATCCCCATCTGGCCAAATGTCCGCCTTTACACGGGGCCTGCACCCTAACGGGATTACCAGAGGTACTAAACTGCTATCTCGATTCAGGAAGTTTCGATTTTTTTAATTTTAACCCCCTAAAATAAAAAAAAAATATATAATAGCCAAAAAATCCAAAAGTTTTTCGAATTTCGAAAAAAAACGGAATAAATGAGATAGCCCTCACAGACTTCTATTCACATAATAAATTTAAAATCGATATATCTCTTTTTACAAAGTAATAGCAAAAAAACTGTTCAAAATTGATGACGTCAAATTTTCCAACACAATTTTCTTTGCAATTCTAGACCACGTAGCGCAAAACAAAGATCACCATTAGACTCGCCGTGACGAGATGCATCGAATCAATACCCATTTTATGCAAAAATATCAACTTTGAAATTTGACCTTTTTTTGACCTGACATTGACCTGACCTCCACCAGGAAGTGACCTAACCTGTTCCTGATGGTCCTATAACCAACACCATTGTGTTGGAAATGAAAAATTAGCCATAAAACATGCATCACACAGCCCTAGTAAAATAGCGCATTCCCTAGACGACCCGTGAACGGTGAATTATTTCATCTTTGACCTGACCTGTGACGTCATCGGTGACCCCGAGGTCAATGAAATTTGGTTTCCCTCGACAAATTTGACAGGCCTTTCGAACTCCGTTTGAATTTTGCGGATCCGTCCAGTAGTTTCGGAAATACGAGGGGGGGGGGGCAAAAAATACCCCCCCCCCACCAGGTCGCGTTATAAACAGACCCCACCAGGGCGCGGGTTAACAATACATGATGATGATGATGATGATGATGATGAGCCGCCGATCTGACTCCGGGTCACCGAGGTAGAGGCGCGTTCTCCTGGCTTTGACAGCATTGGCTTGCAGCACCGCCTCTTTGCCAAAGGTACATACGTCATCGTCGGAGTCATCTAGAGGACAGAGGATAGAGGAAACAACAACAAGAGTGGTGGTGGCGGAAGGACGCTGGATAGAAGAAGTGAACAACTCACAGGAGCATGGTAACTATGAGGTGACAATGGTCGCCGTTCTGTAGTGGATACATTCTGGAAGCTAACATTAATTATAACAATGACTGTGGGTAATGTCGGGCTTGCAGACATTCGTAGCGCGCCAAGCGTGAGCAAGTCCTTAAGAGGGGTAAAAATGATCATGTTTTTACAAATCTTACCGTGGACGGGCGACAGGGCAGCAATTCGCCGCTTCGACAGTTGAATTCTCCCAGTCCATATCTTTTTTGAGTGCTTCATAGACACTTCGACGCCTCCTTCAAGCGGTTTGTGGCTCTTTAACCCTCGCCCGCACATGGGGGGGGTGGTTGCCACCCCCCCAGGCAGTCTTTCTGCTCTGCACTCAACATTTTTAGAGCTAGAAGGCTGATTTTTCGTATAGCTGCTCGTCCATCCTTTCCTGATGTCCACTGAAAATTTCAAGTTTCTGTGACTTTTGGTTTTGGAGATATGACCTTGTTTTTCAGGTCATGTCATGACCCAAATGGCCAATTCTCAACATCTTGCGTTTGCCATGGGCCTTGTGAGCTTTTGACACCCTGATTTCGGCCTTTTTTGCCAGTCTTACCTCCCACCTATCATGGAACATGTTGTTCGACGATGTACAGGGGTCAAGGTCAGGGTCAAGGTCAACCTAGGTCATCTAAGATAATTGCGTTTTAGGCAAGCTGAATTTACTTTTGTGAAGTTTTTTTACTGCATTTTTGGTAAAAGCTTCTCAGATCATGATTTCATGTGATATGGACCCAAAAACAATCGGTGCACACATCAGTATACACACAGACACACACAGACATACAAACACATATAATTGACCTTGACCTAACTTGACCTGAAATGACCTCAGCAGCAAAATTCTGGTCGGATAGTGTGACAAAGAGGTTCTAGCTGGCTTGGCACCAGAAAACAGCATCGTCATCGGTATTTGATAAGCAGCGCACTTGATATCCAACGGTGACCCAAAACAGCAACATTTTTTAGTTTGACCTGACCTGGAAGGTCACTGACTGACCTGAGAAGGTAAAACTGGGTATCATTGGATTCGTCTCTTCCCAAAGAATCTTTTTGCTCTTTACTGCTAAGCTCTATCTCCAACAGGAACGAAATGGCGCGGGGGGGGTGGCAACCACCCCCCCCATGTGCGTTCTAGGATGGGAAAATGGCATGTGCGGGCGAGGGTTAAGCACTGTACTGGGACGTAATGTGACTGCCCTTGACTTGTGTCGTCCCATATCACAAGGACGTGAAGGATTCCACTTTTTATCTTGCACTCCGCATTTGGCACAGACTTTTTCGACTTCCGCTTCATCGCGCAACGCAACTTAAAATTCCCGCCCGCCCCGCTCACTGACCGCATCTCACTGTATAGAGGGCTGACGTCAGATCGTAAATGGCGCGATATCTGAAGAAGCAGTGGTTACAGCCTTGTTCTTCACGGAAATACGCTTTTAAAGGCACCTTAAAATGAATTACGTCTTTTTACCTTCTCAGGACCTTCCCGATGATGTACTTGCGCTTTTTACTAAGAAAGGTCAATTTTTTTTAATTCAAAATAACGAAAAAACGGTGGCTTATCTGATGATATAATTGTCATAGATCGATTCAGCTTGAAATTCTGCATCGATTTGTATCAAAATCTCAAAATCGATATAATGGCGCTTACGCTTCTCTTCCTTTTCACGGCAGCATGTAGCAGAAAGTGAAAACCGTGACCTTTCGTGACCTGACCTTGACCCGTGCTTAGTATGACCCCTATACGCACATGGTATCTTCACTAGGCATTTGAGGTCATTATTGGTGAGTTTCGAGCAGGAGCTATCAAATCCGCTGTCCGTAAGCCTCATCATGCAAAACCCCAGAATTTGACCTTTGACCTGGCCTTGACCCGAAAGTTGACCTCAATCTGAAAATCTTAACCCTCGCCGGCACAGGGGGGGGGGGGGGTGTTGATGCAACCCTCTCCCCCTAAATTTTTCGCAAATAACTCGCGTAAAAAGCGGCCGATCGCGACGAAACTTTCAGTACCCTCGCATTGATCAATTTTACACCTACCCTGAAAATTTCATGACCCTGATTAAAATGACCTTTGACCTGTGACCTATTTTCTGAGACCATGTTTGGCCGGAATCGCGATTCGGCGTATGTCGGCTCGCATTAGCCGCGCGTTTGCAAGCTTTTCGTGGTTTCAAACGTTCAAACATGTGATTTGATGTTACTCCCATGCATTAGGGTGGCTGTCAAGGTCACCTGAAGGTTAGGTCAGGTCATTGTCCTTTGGTGACCTCGGTTCACTTTTTCGAGTTTTACATATTTCTAGGCTAGTTTTTGGAGCTGAATTCGAATTTAGCAACCATTTGAACATTTACGAAGTAGTTTTGGTGCCTTCGTAACATGTTACGAAGCTGTCAGAGGCGGTTGGCATGTACTACGAATACCCGTCACGACCCCTACCGGTTGACCTGACCTGACATGACCCGACCTGGTCTAAATGCTTAACCCGCGCCCTGGTGTGGGTCTGAGCCACCTTCGCCCTGGTGGGGGGGGGGCCAAAATGACCCCCCCCCGTCTAACTCGAAAACGAAGAGGGCTAGGAAGACGCGGAAAAAAGCAAACGAAAGCCCATAACAAGTACGTTCGAAAGTATTTCAGTCATTTTTTCGCTAAGGTCAATATTGAGGTCGCTAGAGGTCATCATAGGTCAAATTTCAGTGTTTTCGGTGTTGCCGGACATATTCCGCTGTAGCTCGGAAACTAGAAGAGCTAGAGAGCCGCGGAAAAAAGCAATCGATAGCTCTTTTCAAGCTCTTTCGCCAAGGTTCGTCAGATTTGACCTCAGCTCAACGGTTTGACCCACAGAGGTCATGCAAGGTCAACTTGGCAAATTTCGTTGAAAATGTTTTTAACTATAGCATGCATTCACGAGAAAATAGAGAAACGATTCATGCACCATCGTGCTTGGCTCGTCGAGACGCGTCGAATGATATATAGTTTGACCTCGAAAGGTCATTTTGAAAATTTGACCTCAGGTCAAGGTCATGACCTTACCGAAATAGGTCATGCTGCATATCATTCGATCCGCATTGACGAGACAAACACGATAAACGTCGAACGGAGTCTCTATCTCTATTCAATAACAAGTAAGTGCAGAAAAACCGCTAGTGACCTCTGGTGACCAGGGAGATGACCTAGCGTGACCTCAGCGAGGTCACAAGCAAATGGTTTCACATGGGCTGTGATTTGCTGACCCAAGACACTTCAATAACGAAATATAGGAACAATCACGCCCGATTTAGCTGAAAAACAACTACTTTTCGATTCTCCCATTGACTTATAATGGGGAGCAGCGATGACCTGACCTGACCTTAGGTCACATTTATAAAAAATCCGAGATAGCCATTTTGTAGAGCTGGGTGACATCTTCAAGTACTGTAAATTTTACATCGATCGGATAAAAGCTGTGCCTTTGAGAGAGCTTTGAACTTTTTTAGAGGTGGTGTCAGTTTTGGTGACCTTGTGACCTGACCTGACCTGACCCGAACCCCCCAAAAAAGGACATGATGTAAAAATGTTGAATAAACAGCTATACAAAGTTTCAGGGCGCTAACTCAAGTGGTTTCTGAGTTATCGCTGAAAAACCACAGGGGGGGGCCAAAATGGCCCCCCCCCACCAGGGCGAAGGTTAAAGGCATCATCTGTGATCAAAACTATTACGATATTCGTGATCAGCGCCCCGGAAAACCCCATAGCAGCAACACTTTACGACTTTCTAACAGGTCCCGATTTTCCCGACTTTTGAGTCATTGACCTGACCTGGAAGGTCATCCGATGACCTAGGACCTCGAAATTGGGTATCATCGGCATCCTCTCGTGACGGGCAACACGCTCGTTTTTTTCCGCGAAGCTCTAGCTCGATCAGGGGCCAAACGCGAGGGGGGTCGTTCCAACCCCCCCCCCCCCCCTTGTGCCGTCGAAGGACGCAAAATGGCCTGTGCCGGCGAGGGTTAAGAGTGGTTTGGGAAGGTCTCGTAGAGACCTTTCGAACGCCGCCTCGCGGGGCTCGATACGACCATTGGTTCTCGAGATAACAGGGGGATCGGATCCGACCCCCCCCCCCCCCCCAGGCTGTCGTGGGTACGGAAATAGCCCAGGCGGTGCCGGGCTATGATCATTTGTAGAGCATGTGGTCTATCATAATTTTGACCAGAGTTACAGTAAATACGCTTTGCACATTGCTTTTTTTGCTGTGATGATTCCACGTCCGCTAAAACGCTGTTTTTGTGAGATGCTTGGCAATAGGTATGTACCTTGCATATGGTAGCGGACCTGCTTAGCAGATATTTACCTACAACCTACATGCGTAGCTACAATCGCGATACTAAGCGCTATCCTCACCACACAACAGTGTAATTAAAAGTTCCACCAATCACATCTCACCGTAAACGTCCAGGCGCCGCAAGGAGGGCGGTAGCAGCCGCAGCCACCGTCCCGTCGAGTCAGGAGGAATGGAGACCGTGAGCTCCTCCAAGGTTCGAAGGGACTCCAGCAGAGCCGTCAGCCGCTCCTCACTATGGCCCGGTGGAAAGATGAGCTTCAAAGATGAACCGCAGGATTTGTCGTCCCTCAGTACTTTGATGTTGCCGTTATCCGACGGTATGTTCAGTTTATCATAAACGGCTCCTGCAGGTAAGACACCAGAAAGATGGGTCACAAATGACAACTCTGAACTCATACACAATGGGGAAAATGTTTCTTATATTTCGACGTACGAAGTACGAACTAAACAAACTATGTTTAATGTGACATTACACATCACAAGTGCGGACTTCTGATGTGACGCCCCATGTAATGGCACACACATCACATGATCGGTTGAGTACGTCATGTTCCATGCAGTAACTACATGCAAAAGTAGAGCTATCAACCAGACACAAATGGTCATGCTGGATAGGTCCATTTATTTTCACAAGTCCGACACCACAAAACTGGTTTGTAGGTAGGTACTTCTCTTTCTACGTAAGCCCAATTCAGCACCCGAACGGACATACAGGGTGACACAAAAAAACGGTCATCACCAAAATTCGAATAACTTCGGAAGTTTTATTCAGATCATCACCAAACTTCGGCCACTTTAGGTCACACCTATGTAGCAGACATCCACCAAGTTTCAAGTCTTCATTACGAATGTTTTTAGTACAGTGTGTGTTTTACGGACGCTCCACAATGTGCTCCAGGTGAGCGCCCCGGCGCTGCAGGGCGTAGGCACACCTGCATCCGGCGGGCAAAGTTGTCGATAACCCGATAAGAATAACGTTTCAGGGGTAGCACACCCCCTGAGCACTGTCTCCAGAGGCCATTGCACTCTGTAAAGTGCACAGCCATCGGGTTATCGACAACTTTGCCCGCCGGATGCAAGTGTGCCTACGCCCTGCAACGCCGTGGCGCTCACCTGGATGGAGCACATTGTGGAGCGTCAGTAAAACACACACTGTACTAAAAGTAATCGTAGTGAAGACTTGAAACTTGGTGGATGTATGCTACATAGGTGTGACCTTAAGTGGCCGAAGTTTGGTGATGATCTGAATAAAACTTCCGAAGTTAGGTATTCGAAATTTGGTGATGACCGTTTTTTTTGTGTCACCCTGTATAACGACAGTACGTGAACTCAGTATCTAGCAACGCCCCGGTAACATGAATTCACATGAGTATGACAGTTACAATCACACACTTGCACGCTATACCTTGTATACACAGAGTTACACGAATAAACAGTGAAGACCACAGTACGGTGAACATGTCCATAACATCAATTCATACCACACATCGCGTCAGAGCTCAAACCATACCAATTACCTACCTAAATACGAGTGACGTCATCTTACTATACTGGCTAACCTATCATAGGAATCAGCTAGTGTTTGGCATTGTTCACACTCGAACAATCATTCACGCCACACATGAGAGTAGACTCATCTACATATGAATGGCATCACTATACTGTTTTTTCTGTTGTGACGTCACATCAGCGTCATGTGCTCATCTCGACCCGTTGAGAGGGTGTGAGTCAGCGACTCCGAGAGGCCGGTGGCGCCGAGCCGTCTGTTGTGGGACTGATCAGAGGCGCTGGGTGGCGCCGTCACTTACCTGTGACCTGGAAACTCAGTGTTCTCGGCGTGTTGTCATCGCGTTTCCCCAGGTCTGCCCGGACCAGGGCGTCCAGGACCGTCTGACTGAGCTCTTGCTTTGCGTGGAGAGACAGCCAGTCCAGTTTCCGACAGGTAACCACCAGTCTGCGACAGCACAGGACACAGGCCAGTCAGCGACACCAGCCGGCCGATCGGCCGTCTGGAAGGGACGGGTCCGGTCTCCACAGGGCCAGTTCACGTCAGGTCCGGTCCGGTCCTGGTGAGGGTCCGGCCCCGATGCGCCAGCTAATAGATATAGTGCTAACTACTATTGGTCTGTATGCTCGTTATAGTGACAAATTACATACCAAGGCTCTAGCCTCTAAGCACAATGCATGGTAACAGTGTTTCGTGTATGCACACATGCAGACAATGCGTGGTGGCACGCATATTCTGGTCTGGGTCTCGTCTGCGTCTGGTCTGTGTATGGTCTGTGTTTGGTCTGGTTTGGGTCTGGTCTGGTCTGGGTCTGGTCTGGGTCTGGTCTGGGTCTGGTCTGGGTCTGGTCTGGGTCTGGTCTGGGTCTGGTCTGGGTCTGGTCTGGGTCTGGTCTGGGTCTGGTCTGGGTCTGGTCTGGGTCTAGTCTGGGTCTGGTCTGGGTCTGCTCTGTGTCTGGTCTGTGTCTGGGTCTGGTCTGAGTGAACAGCTGACTGACCTGCTGACCGCTGTGACCGGTATATCCGTACAGAGTACATATGGCTGTCCCAGCTGCATTTTACGCAGCTGGGAGCAGCCGTGGAGGGCGGCCAGCGAGGTGTCAGTAATGGCGCCGGACAGAGAGCCGTCAAGTGTGACGTCTTCCAGGCCGGTGAGGGCGGAGAGCAGCCTCTGTAAGGCCCCGGCAGTGACACGCGGGCAGTCTGGGAAACACAGACACATACAGATATGGTAGGTGAATGGCGTGGGAGCTGCTACGCTACTCGCTAGCACGTGCGGAGACATAGACAGGTATGACACTGCATGCTGCATACGAGCTAATTGTTAATATTGAGCAGTAAATAGTGATAATGAACACATTTAATATTATTTGTATGTATATTTGTGTATATGTAAGTAGGTATGCATGTATGTATGTATGTATGTACAGTTTATGTATGTATCTGCAAAGAAGTAGCTATACACGCATGCATGTATGCCTATATGTATATGCATTCTGTGTACAAGTAATGATGCCTACTAATGAAGAGCTGCCAAGCAGAAAATGAAACAACACATCCACATAGCTGGTGATTGGTGATTGGTGATGCATTTATATGGAGCACTCACCACAGGTCGCCAACACCATGTTGGCGACAACACTTCCACACACCCCACGGAAATGAATATCGACGCATCCGGCATATCCGTCATTTACATACATATAATATGCCAAATATACCAGCAAAAAGTATCTGACTATTAATCTGATCACAGTCCCTGTTTCACATCTCCCCGAACGCTGTTACCGTGCTCAGTTGGGTATATGGTGTTCGTCACTTTACCTAACCACACATAACGATAACCTGTCCGTGCCACCAACACTCACTGAACATGGTCAGCTTGGTAGCCCGTGGTCCCAGCTCCTTGGCCAGCTGGTTGATGACGTCATCTCCCGCCTGTTTTATGACGACCACCAGCCCATGGTCGAGCGGTCGGGCCAGTGTCACCGGCTCCCCCGTCACCCCCGGTCCTGTCGGAGAGAAGGCTGTATCAGCTGACTGCAGTCGGACGGAGCTGCCGCCGGGTCGGGAGGCCGCTGATACTATGGTATGTAACAATGATACAGCCGATACTGACACCAACACAGCCGACTCGTCACTGATAGGAATGAGTTTGGCAATGTCTGTTGTATACAAGCACACATATTGTTATACCTACATAGCTCAGCATGGACCATGAACTATGAACAATAGAGATTGAACACTATCGACGATGCTGTCAAAACTCTCTGTATTGGATGTCAGGCCATGATCAACATTAGGCGTCTGTTTCGTATGATCATTTGTAGAGCATGTGGTCTTCAAAACAACGTCTATCATAATTTTGACAAGAGTTACAGTGAATACGCATTACACATTTTTCTGTGATGATGCCACTGCCCGCTAAAACACTGCTTTTGTGTGTAGATTATTACATTGCATATGGTATCGGACCGGCTAAACATTACAGCCCACATGCATGGCTGCAATCACAATACCTACTAAGCACTGTCCTCATCACACAGCAGTGTGATTAGGTACAAGTTTCATCAATGACATCTCACCGAAAACGTCCAGGCGCCTCAAGGACGGCGGCAGCAGCCGCAGCCACCGTCCCGTCGAGTCAGGAGGAGTGGAGACCGTGAGCTCCTTCAAGGTTTGGACTTGGAGGGACTCCAAAATCGCGATCACCTGTAGCTCTGCAAGACCAGGTGGAAATGTGAACTGCTTCAACTGCTTCACAGTCGAGAGTTCCTGCTTCTGGACTGTGACTACACTGGCCGCAGGGAATTGGCTCGATGTCCGCTTCGAGACGTCACTGGCCGCAGGCGACTGGAGCCCTCTCTGTGCTGTGTCGTTGATGCTGGTTTCTGTAGATGGACTGCAAAAGCAAACGAGAATAACGTCGAAGGCTCATACATAAAACTCGCACCTAGATTGATAGGGAGCGGTCAGGTGAACCCAATCGGTTTTTGACAAATAACTATAGTTCGTTTATTTCAAGTTTGCCCCTCACTGTAAACATTTTTTTTTTAACACAGCACGAGAATTGCTGGCTGAATTACTGAGACATCTAGTTGATGCACATTGAATTAAACAGACGATCAACTGTATCAAAATTATTTCTACCTGGCGACTCGTAGCTCGTATTTGCCCTTATTTACAACCCCCCCCCCCCGGGATAGACGACTTCTCAGGAATTATAACTGAACTAATAGATAAATCACACGGCGTGTAACATAACAGGGCCTCGGCTAACATACTGGGGCAAATGCCCCTACTGTACCTAATTCCTTGACTCTACTGAGGCAAATGCCCCAGTAGAGTCAAGGAATGTCCCAGTAGTGGTCAGGCTTTGCCCAACATTCACAAAATGATCATGTCTTAAGTCTTAACCCTCGTCCGTATAGGGGGGGGGGGGGTCGAACAGACCCCCCTTGGCTTTTCGCGAATAACTCGCGTAAAAAGCGGCCGATCGCGACGAAACTTTTAGTACCCTCGCGGGCCTCGCGTTAATCAATTTTACACCTACCCTAAAAAATTCATGACCCTGATCCACCATGACCTTTCATGACCTTTATGACCTTTCACCAGTGACCTAATTTTTGAGATCATGTTTGGCCAGGATCGCGATTTGGCGTATGTCGGCTCGCATTAGCCGCGCGTTTGCAGTCTTTTCATGGTTTCAAGCGTTCATACATGGGATATCGTGTTCCTCCCATGCATTAGGGTGAGTGTCAATGTCACCGGAAGGTCAGGTCAGGTCATTGACCTTTGATGACTTCGGTTGGTGCCTTCGTAACATGTTACGAATCTGTCAGAGGCGGTTGCCACCTACTATGAATACCCGGCAAAACCCTTACTGGTTAGTGGTTATCCTGACCTGACCAGACCTGGCCTAAATGTATGAAGACACCCTCTATGATCATAACCCGCGAGTTGCTGGGGGGGGGGGCGTTAAACGCCCCCACTTTTTTGGCCGGGCCATGGCATAAAAACGGCGCGCCGCAGGCGCGCCAAATTTTGGGTACCTGTAGGGAATTGATTGAAGTTTATTGTGACAAAGTTTCAAAAAAAAAAATCGGTCGGAAAATTTTTTGAGATATCGAGGTTTTAGTGACGTCATGATTTCTGAGTTTTCGACCAAAAACGGTATATGTTCAAAAAATCATATAAAATCACAGAATAGACATACAGACATGCCGTAAACGCCATTAGACTGCCAATACCATGATCAATCAAATGGCTATCTTCGATTATTGATTATCGTTCCGCATTTTCCATAATCTTGAACTGAATCTTGGCAATTTTTCGTGACTACTTCACGACCATGATACATGAATTTCTTAAATTGAACTTTTTGAGCCAAACACGTACACATATGATAAAATGAATGTCACCATCGTGTTCTACGCCCCAAATTACCTACAAAACATGTGTCACAGGCTGCGAATATCAGTTTTGATTTTCGGGGATATGTGCCTACCCGGTTGACCTGACCCTGACCCTGACCTATGCTTGACTGACCCCTACATGGAGCTGACACTCTTGTAGGCCTTATAAGATGGATTGTGCACCGTTTTGACAGAGTTTATGGCGAGAGGCGCCCATTGCGAAGTCCTGAAGTCCATGCTACTGAAAGCCCGATTTCAGGTGTTTGACCTGACCTAGACCCAACCTGTGACCTCAAAATTCAACTTTAAAGTACTCATATGAAGCGCCTCGTCGCGGTCTTTCGTTTGCCGCATCGTGCGTTTCGCTGCGCCTATTGGTTCTCGAGTTATCGGCTGGGGGCGTTTAACCCGCGCCCCGCTGGGGGGGGGGGGCAGAATCTGCCCCCCCTCCCGTTTTTCGCCAATAACTTCTAAACGCGTTACGCCAGCGACGCCAAACTTTCAGTACCTTATCATACATCAATTTGACACATTCCCTATAAATTTTAACGAAATCCGTCAGAAATTTTTTGAGAAATTGACGTTTTAGTGACGTCATGTTCGCCATTTTCGCCTCAAAAACGGCAAAATTTCAAACGCCGCTAACATCTTCATTTTTAAAGGAATCAAAACGTAACAAAAAAGGTTATACGTGATTCTACTTTGTCTATCAAATGGCTATCTCGGTTTTTTGAAAAATTTTGTATTTTGGCCAAAATTTTTCCAAAAAAATGACTTTTTTTGGAAAATATTTATAAAATCCAAAATTTTGAGTTTATAAAAAACGGAATATGTGTCAAATAAGTGGTCTATGTGCACCTACATACCAATTTTTAGAAGAATCGGTTCAAAAATGTGGTAGTTATTCAAAATTGTATGACGTCACGACACACAAAAATTTTGAAAAATGATTATTTTGGTAGTTCTAGACCTCGTACGGAAACAAAAATAGCACCATTCGATTCGCCGTGAAAAACTGCATCGGATAGACACCTTTTTAGGCCTTAACAACCAACTTCAAAATTTGACCTCACTTGACCTGACCTTGACCTGACCTCGACCTGAAATTCATCCAGAGGTGGTCCATATCACTTATTGAGTGTGCCTATTGAATTCCATGAGTAAAATGACTCATAAAACATGTGTCGCACATGCCCTTTTCTATATTTTGTTTTTGGTGACCTGACCTGACCTGACCTGACCTTGACCTTGACCTTTGAATGCCATTGTGTGCAACGAATATTGTCTTGGTAGTCTAAGAACACGTTTTGGGCAATCAGTCTCAGTCCATTCTTCGGCAACTACGGTGCAAGGCCGATACTGTAGAAACTTGCATTTTGTACCCTTGACCTGACCTTGACCTGACCTCTGACCTACTTAACCCGGCCGGGCCCGGGGGGTAATCCCAACCACCGCAGCCCGGGGGGGCGTTTTTCGCCCCCCCCCTGTCTAACTCCGTAAAAAAGGGAGCTACGGAAACAAAAGCGATACCAAACGAAAGGTCCTTACGAGACGATTCTAAAGCACCTAAAATTTTTGACCTCAGGTCAATTTTCAAGGTCAGAGGTCAAGGTCAAAGGCAAAAACCGGCACTTGTGTAGTGATCTTAAAGTAAGCCTTCTAGAGGACGGCAGGCTGCATCAAACCGGCAAAATTGGGTGTCAAACGAAAGAAGAGAATCTGAGGATTCCGAAACTGTGCTCAAAATTAAAGGTCAAGGTCAAGGTCACGCTCAAAATTGACCTCAAACTTGGCACTTTTTCGTACATCTTGCGTGCTAACCTCCAAGATGTTTTGAAATGTTTTGAGGCTTATCAGTTCCCTATTTGTGGTTCATCTTACAAGACAAGGCTGCTCAAAGGTCAAGGTCACAGAACAGTATCCCTGCTAGAGGCTATTTCACTAATTCAAGCTAGTAATAGTAAATAAGTGAATTTTGTCATTCGGAAGCTCTAAATGAAGGCTTAGAGGAAAATAGATGCCAGATTCGTGATCAGCGGATACAAATCCATCATAAACGACCTTTCATGTGTCAAGGTCAACCAGAGGTCATTCGAGGTCACATGAGGTCAACATAGAACTTGACCTTTTCCGAACAAAATATATATCATTCGACGCGGCTTGACAAGGCGAATGCGATGGTATCACTGCCGTAGCTCTAGGACCATTTTTGTCGAAGTTATTTGCGAAAAAACTAAAACCACATTTCGGGGTCGTTGACCTGACCTCTGACCTCAGGTCACCAAAACTATTTTTCTATTTTTCTCTAGGTCAAACACTACACAACCGTGCTCGTAATTTGTCTTTATCTCCAAAACTCTATTTTTAGCAGCTATTTGAAGTTTGCGTCTGTGACGCCGAAGTTTGCCGTGCAGGGGTCTAGAAAAATGGACCTTGTGACGTCATCAAGGGGGCTAGGTCCAATTTTTTTACTTCAGAAGATGTCAAATTTATGGGAAAAAAGGTACTGAAAGTTTCGCTTTCCTATCCCTAAGCGTTCGGGAGCTATCGCAAATATTCGCCAGGGGGGGCGAAAAACGCCCCCCGGGCCCGCGAGGGTAAAGCAAAAAAATTTGGGCTCTTGATCCGCCTTGTTCAGAGCTTTCGATTGCCGTTTTCCCCGTCTTTCTACGACCATCGGTTCGGAAGTTAGACAGGGGGGGCAGAATCTGCCCCCCCCCCAGCAGGGCGCGTATGGCTGAATAGCCCAGCGGGGCGCGGGTTAACGCCCCCCCCCCCCCCCAGCAAATGGTGGGTGGCGAAATACCCCAGCAACTGCCGGGATAACTGACATGATATTGGTGATCATCACCCCGAACAACCCCAAAGAAGCCACGTTTTACGACGTTCTAACTAGTAATGTCAATTATAGAAAATATGAATACCAATTCCAAACCAAATACCAACATAAACCGTGAAGAAATACCGATACCGAACCAACTTCATAACATGAGGGAAATACCGACTTTTAACCAATTTCTCAGCCTCTTATACATAAGTGAGGGTTCATAATGCCAACAAAATACCAAGTACATTAGGATTGAAATACCAAATACCAAGTTGGTATCGGTTTGGTATCGGTATACCAAAAAATTGGCATGCGATTGACATCTCTAGTTCTAACAGGTCCCGATTTACCGACTTTTGGGTCATTGACCTGACCTGCAAGGTCAACCAATGACCTAGGACCTTAAAATTAGGTATCATCGGCTTCCTCTCGTCACGGGCAACACGCTCGTTTTTTTCCGCGAAGCTCTAGCTCGATCAGGGGCGAAACGGCAAGGGGGGGTCCAACGGACCCCCCCCCCCCCCTTATACGTTCGCGGCTGGAAAAACACCAATACGGGCGAAGGTTAAAGATTAATCACCTGACCTGACCTTCAGGTCACCTTGACACCCGCCCTAATGCATGGGACTACTATCTTTTCGCATGTGTGAACGCTGGAAA